ACGAATCCAGCGACCTTTGTTGTCTAGGCAGTTGCAGGCAGTGTGCCTGCTGGAGGATGCTTGTAGGCAGAGGACTGGCCTGGAGAGGACAAAAGAGACGACATAGCGTTGGGGGAAGAGGGTTGGGGAGATGATGGAGGTAGGAGGAAAAGGAGTGACGAGAGCAAGTGCGTCATTATATGCTCTCGATCTTTGGTACTCGATTATGTAATCACTTCGATATATTGTTTAAAGGTAAAAACAAATTATATTATAAGTCTGACAGAGTGATTGTTAACATTATTAATATATATAATTGTATATTATCTTACTAAAAGTATTGTAATTAACTTACAAGCACAACATATTACTTTTATGACTATTATAATCAATCAACTATTATTACAAATAACTTATAATATAATTTTAGCATATTATAATAGGAGTTGAGTACTTGTACCTCACATGTAATGTTGTAATAATACTATTAGTAAGCTTACTTACTCTAAAACATGTTTGTAGTTTAATAGAAACTTTGTATATTTCTTACATTTATATACAATCATTATAATTACATTACAAGTGAAATACAAGTATTATTTTAGAATGTAATGCTTATGAAATCATTTTATTAGTTTACTTTTGCTATTATTAAATACATTTGTTACGACTTTTTCGTGATGGGGTTGGCACGAAGTTCGAACTTTACTCAACGAGGAAGAATCTGAGGTCAAGCAAGAACTGGATCAAGCAATCAGCATTTGTAAGACGCTTGACACTCTGTTTAGTGAAGAAGCAATGTCGACACAGACAAGCAGTATGACTGTTCAAATCAACCCTGCCTTTGAGAACGGAGAAATTAGGCGATCATTAATGACTGCATCATTCATCTCAGGCACAATCTTGGACAGATTATGTGGTATGAAGGATGCTCACTTTTTGAGCCGGTTACAATCAACCTTTCTACATTTTACAGACTGTTCCGACATTTTCAAACCATCTACCGGTGTTGAGCTCGAAGTTACGGGTCACAAGTATATTGCAGCCAACGCAAAGACGCTGTTCACCATTCTGTCTCTCAGAAATATGTTATATGTCTAGCGAGAAATTTCCAACCATCTCGAATCGCTCTCGATTGACGGGAAGTACGAAGTTCTCCTTCACAGACTTAGTGATACTTTGCACATCAATGATTAATAAATATCGGAAATTGTCTGGAGTATTACTGTAATTAACAACTCACAGTAAACCTATATGATTATATGATATACGATGAACTTCAGTGTCTCAAACGCAACCGTACCGTATGGCAGAAGATTCGCCACCCCTCTCTTGTAGTAACACAGCGCATATTATGCAACCTATCCAGAATCGTCTAGAGACTCGTCAAGATAGAACAATACATCGCGATAGGGAATGGTCCCTTTAACCGCGGCTCATGCTGCGTGTTCTTCAGTAAATCTTGCAGCTCGATCAGCTTGATCTGCAAGTGAAGCTCCCTGTAAAAAAAGGTCACCGTGAAAAAGAAAAAGAAAGTCGGGTCAAGGCAAAAAGATAGCCCCGAGGGGAGAATTGCAACACACATCGCCATGAAAGTCTGAATCGAGCTATTAAGCTTCTCGCTAGCCAGTATGGACAGTAACTGCGACGTCTCAGTCGGGCTTGCATTTCCATCGCCGTTGCCATTGTCAGGAGTCATATGCAGGTCCCGCTCAATAGCGTTCACAGTATTTCTCGCTTCATCATGTGGAGAATTCAGTCGGACGAGAATCCCAGAATTGGCCGCGACTAGGTGAATGTGTAGCCATACAACGTTCAGATAGAACCTTTTTTACCATTGCCCAATTTGTTGTGGTGAGCACAATCCACAAGTATGTGTGCCGAGGGCATTGAAAAGACAAGATTAATGCGCTGAGTGCATCGCTAAGTTCTCTACGCGCTTCTGCTGGCCACCATAAACGGGATACAATAACAGCATATATCACGCCAGCACCAATGGAAATAGAAAAAAAAGAACGACACGGCTGGCATAGTTTTCCGGAACCGCTGTAGCCACGCTATGCGTATGTGCACATGACTAATAATTCCCACGATGGGTCTCAATGGTGGTCCACTGGTCCGACGACAATGGTCGCAGTAAATTGAGTTGCTGTGCTGTGACAACAGGTTCTCTGAACCGCCACTCACAACGACAATGCCCTCTGCCTCTTACTGTATCAAAGAATTCGAACACGCAAAACACATCCCACCTGATCCCGATCTCGTAAATGCGAATACTAGCTTGGCTGTGCTCCATGAACTTGCGTGGAAGAAACAAGATGAAAGCGCACTGTTTCACAAGGAAACCGTTCGACGCGACGAACTTAGGATGAAGAATGTCCAAGTTCGCGAGTATATGACTGTGCTCAAATGGGAACCCAATACAGCTTTCCTCAAGATGAATGAAGTAAAGGGGATCCTAATCAGGGATGCATATTGTCGGATGATACAGACAGTCGAGTCCATTTTGTGGCCAAAGCCAGAGGCGAATGAGTCGTCAGAAGAGGCGATGGATATTGACTTGGATCCACAGTATAATCCCTTCAAGGCCGATCTCCGACCATCAGAAGACGTGGCCTGTGTAGTAGTATCTGGTGGACCTGGTATTGGTGCGTGCACCCATTCATGCTGCCCTGTTTTCGTTCGCGTTGACCGTGACTTCAGGAAAAACTTTATTCATTGTCCACGTTCTTACATTGTGCCTCCTTGCTCGTCGACCTGTCGTATGGCAGGACGCACCGAATGAGGTACTCGTGTTTGTTGATGAAGGGGTTTACTCAGCTACGTTGAGCGGGGCCCTGTCAAATTACATTCCCAATGGTGCTCTCTACCTATCCGATTGCGCTCCAGATGTCCCAACTCCGAACCACGGCTTAGTGAAGAGTTTAGTCACATTGAAGGGGGCCAGACTCTTGCATTTTGCATTCCCCCGCCAGCAAAACATTGCAGGCTTCAACAAGTTTCCATTTGATCATACAATAGTGTATATGGAGCAGTGCACTCCAGAAGATCTCGTCTGTTGGTATGTTGTGTTTTACTTGCTCTTTTGTGCGGGTGATGAATTAGTGAGCATTTGGCAGCCGACATCTCTGGTACAATCAAATCTCGGAACGAGAGATCGAGGAGTTTATTAAGCTCTATGGTCTATCATGCCGTAATACACAAAGGTACGCAAGAAAATTGGTAAAGTTCGACGGGATGATTAGGAACAAGATCACTCGCCTCAACGAAGCGGCGCTATTTGACGCCATTCCTCGAACAACTAGTGTCTTAGCAACATCGGAAGAGGAGGCACGCGCCTTGCATAATATATTCTGCATCCAACCACAGCCTACGAATGTAGAGGATTGCTCAATAACGATACAAACAAGACATATCTATGAAATGATCCTTCAGCATTTCCAGAAATGCGAGCAGCAATCCGCCGTTAAACTATTCAAGATATTTTGTGTAAACTATAAGTCAAAAGGTTGTGCCGGCTTCCTTCTTGAGGACTGGGTCATTGGCAGACTTCCGAAAGGCGGTGAATGGTGCTTGCATGCTATGGAGGTTGTGTCAGGATCAAAGGCTGAGAAACGCTTGCGTTGGCGTGATGTTACAAATGGCAATACCCATTATTTGCGCGTGGGACATTGTGGTACAGCAACTGTGACAGACAGACGTGTCAATGCTGAGCACTTTGACACTATCCGTACGTTCGATTATGGAATCAGAGGTACCGATAAGGTGGAAGCACTACCGGAGACGGATGGGATTGGCTTACTAGTGAAGGAGAATCAGCCGACCTACGATTTATTCTTTTGGATTCCTCGGGAGAAGCGAGCAATTATGGTCCAAGTGACCGTATCTTCGAGTCACAATATTGCTGGGAAGGGTTTGGAACAGCTGAAGAAAGCTGGCGCGGAGCATCTTGATCTTATTGTGGTAACACCTGAACTGAAGGGGCGTACAAAGAAAGATACTGTAGAGGTTTATACAGAGAAGGCCAACAAGGGCATGCTAGAACACATTTATCACCTTACTGTATTTGAAACAGACATGGAAATGATGGAATAGGTTCCTGAGCCTTGTTAATTTGTAGTCAATTACAGTCTTTTTGTCAGCAACAGTGTAGAGGGGACCTGAAGGCTCAGTAAGGGGACCCAGGCTACAACTATCCTACACAACAGAAATACAGAATGTAAGCACTGGAACATAGTCAGAACTTGTAGAACAGACAGAGAGAGAGTGT